ACCCTCCCCAGACCCCACTTGTGGGATTATACTGGGTCGTTGTTGTTGTTGTTGTTGTTACAAGTTCTATATATAGCCTAAACTTTAAGATCAGGTTTATGCCTTTAGTAAGGTCTTACAAGTTTTACATGTCTTTTAGGTTTTACAGTTTTGGATACTTGGTACAAGTATGGTTCATGCCTTGCTTGAGGTCTTACAGATATTACTGTTGCCTTATATAGGGCTTACGAGACCGAGGCTGCCCGTATGTGGTCTTATGGCATCGGGTTTTGATAAGTCAATGGAGATGGCAATTGATGGCAGTCCCCGAGTCATCGAGGATTTCTCGGCTCAGTAGCCATTACTTGCAAACTTAGTATTGCCTCTTTGAGGGCTTACGATTTCAGAGTTTCCGACCCGGAGGTCATATGGTCTTGAGTTTTTGACACCAGTCCCCGAGTGTTCGGGATGTTTTTTGGCTCCTGAGCTATTTTGTGACCTTGTTGTTGCCTCATTAAGGGCTTGTGAGTTTGAAGTTCCGACCCGGGGGTCGTACTGTTTCGAATTGTTAACGCCAGTCCCCGAGTGTTCGGGACGTTTTTGATAGAGGAGCCGTTTTTTGCAAAAATACCGAGTTTCCTTGAAACGCAAAATGCTTTTGGGAAGTATCCTTTGATTACTTGGTACAAGTATGCATGTCTTTGCTGTTAAGGGTCCGGTTGTTCTATACGGACATGATTCGTTCGACTGTTTGGCTGGGTACATTATTTTCCTATCGAGCCCCCGTTTGACGTATCTTGGCTTCTTCGAGTAGGTGACCTTTGTTTGAGGTTGATTACAAAAGAAACCTTGAATACTTGTTGGATCTTCCTTAGGTAGCATATAGATTTTGCCTCGTTAAAAACCTTGCCGGTAAAACCCTTTTTGGGATAAAAACTCGGTCTAAGGAAAAGAGTGCAACAAATGCTTTAAAACCTTAAGGTCTTCGTGCTGGGTTAGCGCTTCGACTGTCTCTGTCAGGCACCTGCATAAAGGTAAGTACGAGGTGTAAATTGAAAAGGGAGATGGTTGTACCTTAGTGGCGATGGAGCTTTGAATCTCGGTAGGCCTGCAGTTATCTGCTTGAAGGATGTGGTACGACCCTTTGTTTGTTCATTTGGAAACAGCCGAGAATATGACTTGTGGTCGCCGTGTTGAATCGGTTGAGGGTTTGAGGGGCGGGCATAATTTGGTCAAGCAGTCTAAGCTGCTCGGTTGCCCTCGACTTGATAATATTGGCCGAGGTACCTGAACCCATAAGCACAAGTTTAATTTGAAATGTATCCACAAGAAAAGAAGTTACCAGTGCGTCGTTCTACGGCTGAGATAGAGCCTCGAATTCGCTTTTTCCAGGTGAGGGATGTTTCGTTCGCTTAACCGTGGGTTCTTGCAGGGCATCGATGCTTTTTTAAAAAAAAAATCATATGGGTGACATGTTGTGGCTCATTTGCTTCGTTCTTTTTGGTCGCCTATCTTTCCCGGAACTGATTTTTGGCTCGGTCGTTGAGGAATTCCCGGAGGTGACCTTTGTTGAGTAGTCGGGCTGCCTCTTCTCGGAGTTGTCGGCAATCTTCGGTCCTGTGATCGTGTGTGTTGTGAAATTCCCACACTAAGTTATGGTTCCTTTGTGAAGGATCTGATTGTATAGGCCTTGTCCACTTGGTGTCTCTGATTTTAAATGGCGAACATGATATCTGATACATCGATGTTGAAATTGTATTCCAACAAGCGAGGCACCTCTGTCAACCCTATGTACCTATCGAACCCAGCTCTGTTGACGAGTCCCCGAGGATTCTGGCCTCGGTCGATTCTTCGATCATTGCGGGGTATGTTATGCCTCGGGGCATTTCTCCTGTCTTCGGTGTATGGCTCGTACCTTTCCTTGTTTGGCTTTGGCTCCTTCACTAGAAGCCTGCTTGGGTATACTGAGTTCGAGAGGGCTCCTAGTTGGTCATCCTCGACCCTAATTTTCGATTGATATCGGTTGTAAACATCCGACCAGGTCATGGCGGGATATTTGACCAGATTCTATTTCAGTTGCTTCGAAGCCACCGAGCTTCGTTCATTCAGACCTTTAGTGAAGGCCTGTACTGCCCAATCGTCGGAGACTGGTGGTAGTTCCATTCGTTCCATTTAAAAGTGAGATACGAACTCTCGCAACCTCTCGTTCTCCCTCTGCTTGATCTTGAAGACGTCAGATTTCCTTGTTGCTACTTTGATGGCACGTCATGTGACTTTATAAAAGAATCTGCCAGCATGGAAAATGAGTCTATGGAGTTAAGAGCTAGGTTGTGATACCACATCATGGCCCCTTTCGAGAGTGTTTCCCCAAAATTCTTTAGTAAGACGAACTCAATCTCGTCATCCTTTAGTTCGTTGCCCTTTACTGCACAAGTGTAAGCAGTAACGTGTTCGTTGGGGTCTGAGGTTCTATTGTATTTTGGAAGGTCTAGCATTCTGAACTTCTTTGGAATAGGTTTTGGAGCCTCTTCCTCTAGGAACGTCCTTTGTATGAACTTTTTTACCTATGGCGGGGTTGGTTGCCGACCCGTTGTTGCTTGATCTCTCCGGTACCTACTCGGCTGGGAGAGTCGTCCCCGGCACTACCGTGCTGGGAGTTTTCTGGTGACTTTGCAGCTGAGCAATCGCTAGTTGTTGTGCTTGCAACATCAAAAATAATGTGAAGGCTAACCTCCTATTCTTCCCTACCCAGGGTTCCCTGAGATTCTTGTTGGCCTCCTTGGTGCACGCTCCTATTAGAATGGGAGCTTACATCGACGTGTTGAGCATCGCGTGAGACCGCATCCACGGGAATTGGTTCTGGTGCGTTCTCAGGGTTTCGTGGTGGTATACTAACACCTGGAACATCCACACCATTTTCTCCATGGTTCTCAAGATTGTTGTTCACCGAATTAGACATTTTAACCTGAAATCAAAGACCTTGGGAAAGAAAATGTGTGAAAGATAATTTGCGTTGTTAGTAAAACCAGCAAGAAAATAATTACTATTATTTTTAGCCCCACGGTGGGCGCCAAACTGTTTACCGTGAAAATGGTAATAACAATTAAATTTGATTTAGTGGTTCTAAAAATACGTGATCTATTTTTATGCTGGTTGTTAAGCAGTTGATGCTATGTGAAAGACTTAGAAATGAAATAAGAGCTTGAGAGCAAGATGATAACCAAACATAATGATTAATAATCGAGGCCTCGAGCTTGCCTATTCGAGGGCCTCGGGGTCGAGTATGAAGCTTGATTGGTAGCTATCGAGGGTAATCAATGGGTGATAAATAGTTATAATATAATCAATGGCGGTTCTTTATGGCCAATAATAAGCAATAGATGAAGAACAATAAATAGAACACAATGAATGTAGGAGATAAATGGAAGCAATAATATCAAGAGAATGTGTTAGAGAGCAGAGAGAATGTTCTTGTGTATTTAGTATTGAGCAACATATCCCTACATAATAAGAGGGGAATCCCAACATAGTACAAATGCATTAATTACAAAGATATGGGGCTGGTACAACTATTTAATGCCTTGATTCGCTTTTCTGACTAGTCCACTAGACTAGGCCAGCTATATGTACGTGCCTTGGGAACTTCAACCCGATCTGTCGAGACTACTGAGTCACATTGCCTCGAAGTCGATCACCGAGAACCCTCGGAGTTGACCACTGAAAAACCCTCGGGGTGCCTTAATGATTGTAGAATCGAACAGCCAATTTCTACTGTATACACTTATAGATTTAGCATCACTGCTTGATTTGATAAATTTGTGATGGTTATTTAAGTTGTTTGAAGAGGTAATATCAAATCCAAAGTGGGTTGCCTCACAATAAAATCATTGTTGGTATTCCACTTGCTATTATTGGTAAACAGTGTCCTACCTCTTGATATGATATTTGCCAGTAATGCATGACATAGAAATATTATTTCAATTTTGCTGGAGGCATCTATAAAGAATAATCTCGTTATAGCAAGCTTGTTATTGTTTAGGATTTAGCTTTGATTATGCTTCCTTAGATACTTGTATAGCATTTTGGTTCTTAATAATATACGAACCTTTTTACTTTGTATTCTAACGCTCTTTTTATAGAATTATTTTATATACCCTAAGATTTTTTTTAACTTGAATAAAAATTTTATTCATATGATGAATTTAAGAAATAATTGGATTGGATTCTCTTATTAAATAATTAATGAAAAGATTTAATTATTTGATTTTAACATAAAAAATAATTTATTCTATGTTGATTTAGATCTTAATATTAGATCTTTATATCTGTAGAATCGTTAGTGGTATTGACTCTTACCAATTATTATTTTTCTATTTCCATACATTTATATTCTTAGATATTTTCTTAGTTATTGTTTAATAATTGGGAATTTTTAATATTACACGAAAAATTGACAAAAAAAATATTATTTGAGTAGGAAAATAATTCAAATATAATATAAAAATATATTATCGTGAGGGTATTTTTTCACAATTTCAACTCTTTATGCAGTTTATTTATGCAGAATTGTAACAACTATAGGGGTATCAAGTTACTAAGTCATACCATGAAAGCTTGGGAGAGGGTGGTGGAAGGGAGGATAAGGAAGGCGGTGTCTATATCAGAAAACCAGTTCGGGTTCATGCTGGGTCATTCTACTACGGAAGCTATCTACCTTATCATGAGGTTGGTGGAACAATACAGGGATAGGAAGAGGGATTTGCATATGATGTTTACTGACCTAGAGAAGGCGTATGACAAGGTCCCCAGGGACGTCCTTTGGAGATATCTGGAGGTGAAAGGTGTGCCAGTGGCTTACATTAGGGAAATAAAGGATATCTATGATAGAGCTAGGACTCGGTTAGGACTGTGGGAGGTGACTCAGAGCCTTTTCCGGTGGTTATGGGGTTACATCAAGGATCTACGCTCAGTCCATTCTTATTTTCCCTAGCGATGGATGCACTGACATACCATATTCAAGGAAAGGTGCCATGGTGTATGTTATTCACTGATGATATAGTTCTGATTGATGCGATGCGAGGCGGCGTTAATGGAAGGCTAGAGTTATGGAGGCAGGCTCTGAAGTCTAAATGTTTCAAGTTGAGTAGGACTAAGACGGAATATGTGGAATGTAAGTTCAACGAGGTGACAAGGGAGGCAGATGTGGAAGTTAGGCTTGACTCACAGGTAATCCTCAAGAGAGAAAGTTTTAAGTAATTAGGGCCAATTATCCAAGGAGATGGGGAGATTGACAGGGATGTTACGCACCGTACTAGGGTGGGGTGGATGAAATGGAGGTCAGCGTCTGGAGTTCTGTGTGACAAGAATGTGCCACCGAAACTCAAAGGTAAGTTCTATAGAGCGGTGGTTAGACCGTCCATATTGTATGGGGCTAAGTGTTGGCCAGTCAAGAATTCACATATCCAGAAAATGAAAGTAACAGAAATGAGGATGTTGAGATGGATGTGTGGGAACACTAGGCTGGATAAGATTAGGAATGAAGATATTTGGGAGAGGGTGGGCGTGGCTCCGGTGGACGACAAGATGCAGGAAGCGCATTTTAGGGGGTTCGGACACATACAGAGGAGAAGCCTAGATGCCCTGGTTAGGAGGTATGAGCGGTTGACTTTGACGATGTGATGACCCAGCCCATTGTCTCATGAGTTACAGCTCTGTTTCCCCTATTCCACTTTGCTATGCTTTTTTTATCCGTGTTATGTGGCATCGGATTGGTCAGATCGAGTTCGGAAAGGATTTAGTAAGGTTTGAGACACTTAGTCTCTTTAGAGTGAGTTTAAGTTGTAAAAATTAACTGAATATTGACGTATGTGTTAGAGGGCTCGGATGTGAGTTTTGATGGTTTGGTTAGCTTCGGGAGGTGATTTGTGACTTAGGAGCATGATCGGAATGAATTTTGGAGGTTCGTGGTAGATTTAGGCTTGAATTGGCGAAGTTGATATTTTGACGATTCCCGGTTAGTAGGTGAGATTTTGATATAGGGGTCGAAATGGAATTCCGAGAGTTGCAGTAGTTCCGTTGTGTGATTTTTCATTTGTGTGCAAAATTTCAGGTCATTCGAACGAGGTTTGGTTGGGGTTTTGATCAAAAGCGGAATTCGGAAGATTTTTAGAAAATTTGGCTTGAATCCGATATGTTTTGGTTGATTTGATGTTGTTTGAGGTGGTTTGAAGATTGGTACAAGTTTGAATAAGATATTAGGATATGTTTGTGCTTTTGGTTGAGGTCCCGGGGGCCTCGGGGTAATTTCGGATGGTTGATCGAGGCCAACCCTGCACTACTATTGAGTAGCGAGAGAGGGTTGAAGCAGCTTTTACCCGATTAAGGTCGGGATCGATTTCCACAGGGAGCTAGAAGTTAGAGTTGAGTTTCTATCTAATTGAGAGTTGTGTAAGTGTTCCAAATTACAAAAATGCAGAAGTGAGCGTACCCTAAGGCTCTCCTCTCTCCCCCTTTTTTAGCCAACACCATCAACCCCATTTTTCACTGGGTCAAAGCCTAAAATCTGATGAATAGAAGGAAAGGAGATCAGAAAGATAGGCGAACGACTTGACTATAATATAGGTCGGATGTTTCCGTGAGCAGTAAGCAGCAGATCTCCCCTTGTTACACTTCTAAATATTTTCTGGTTTTTGTTTTACTTCTAATTTTATCAAACTACAATGCTAAATTAAACTAAAATAAGCTAAGAGTAAACTATTGCGAGTTGTTCAAATGGTTAAAAGGCACTAAGGTAGTGACTTTTGCCTAGGTGGTCAATTAACGGATACTTGAGTCTAAGGCATGATTGACATATTTGGGGAGTATGATATAACCGTTGCACGATTTTACCCACTCTACACCTCTCGGTGGTTCGAGTGATTTTGCCCGAATTGACTTTCTCAAGACCAATTGGGTATGCAAATTTGCACAAGCAATCAAGGTTCAAGTCGGGTATTACTATCTCTAGGTTTAACCCTTTAATTGGGGCTATCAATCTCTTAAGTACGCCCCAATTCCTTGTTGGACCAATTTCAGAGACTTAGGCTCTCTTTCTCAAGAAGAGTCAAAGTCAACTAAACACAAATTAATGTTTGCAACCACCAATTCAGCAATTAAACATGAAATTGGCCCAAATATCAAACACTCATAGTCAATCTAGCCCTAAAACACAAGACCCATCAATTACCCACACTAGGGTTGAGCCACAACCCTAGCTTATGGGTCTAGCTACTCATAATTGAAGAAGAAAACAAAGAAATAGATGAAGACAAACTCATATTAATTAATTGCTAAGATAAACTAGAAGATTCAATATTGAAATGAAGCTAAAATTGCTCAAAATAGCTAAAACTATCGAAGTCACGAGCTCAGCTTAGTACAAAATCTATCTGATGTCCTATAAATGGGAAAAGAAGCTATTTATACTAAGCTAAAAAATCTGGACAAAAATACCCCTGCGAGGATAGTGCGGACTGCACAAAATCACGTGCGGCCACACTAGGGCTCTGAACTTGAAAATCCAACTCTCTGAACTCGAGCAATGCGGACCACATAGAATCGAATGCGGCCCCGGTGGCTTCTAGTGCGGACTGCATTGGCTTCAATCTCCAAACTGGCACTTCTCTGATCCTTGGTTCTGCGGACCGCACTAAATCGAGTGCGGCCGCAGTTACTCCAATGCGGACCACATTAAATCTCATGCGGCCGCATTGCATGTTGGTCTGGAAATCAATCTCTTTGAACCTCACTTGTGCGGATCGCACAAAATGGTGTGCGGCCACATTGGTCTTGTTTTGCCCGAGCTTTGTCTTGTCTTGGTACTTGTGCAAGTTTCACTCCTTTTTGAGCTGATCTTTGACATATTGTCACTTTGTTGATCAAACCTGCAATCAAGCACAACTTATGAGTCTTTTGGGACTATTTATTACAAATTTCTAATCAAAACATAAGCAAGAAGGAGTATAAAATGTATCAAAATCCCTAGTTATCAACTCCCCCAAACTTAAGCTTTTGCTTGTCCTAAAACAAACAAAATAAGACCCACCCCTTAAGGAAAATTCCAAGAAAATTCAGTTGTCCTAAAATGCCCTCATCTAGCATCAATTGGGACTAACAATTGCCCTCAATACAAATGAACCATTAACAATATTTACTCTCTGAAACACCATGGATTAAGTGCAACACAAGAGAATCAAGAGTTGACTCAACACATCAAAGAACTCTTTCTATTACTTTGGTCATTGTGGAACCCAAACTCACACATCCTCAACTCTCCCTAAGCAAACTTCACCTTTAGAATAGTAGCACTCAGAACGAGGTTAATGTAAAATCACTCATCTCTCTCAAGGGAAAGTCACAAGTCTGGCTCTAAGTACCATATGTTTTCCCCTTATGTGAGTCACCACTAATGTAAGTTTCATTCAACTAGAGATCATATAGGGCTTTTGTGGAGACATAGTGAAGGTTTTTGGTTCCGAGTAGGCAATGTTTGGTCTAAGTAGGTTCCATCTTCCCTTAAGCACTTCTTTTGTTTCATTTTGGCACACATTCACTTGACTTTGTGAGTCTTTTCACTTCTTTCTAAGGGGTTAGAGAGACACACTGTCACTCTTTCTTATACATTTCAAATCTTTTCTCCTTTCTCAACTTTCCACACCTTTTCATTCTTTGCTTTTTCTTGAATCCCTTTTTATTCTCTTACACATTGAACATTCTTTTTGTCTTTTTTCTTTTCTTTCTTTTTCATTGCCTTTCATTTTCTTCATTTTTTTTTGCATCTTCTTACCACTTTGTTGCAATCCTAGTCTCTCCCCCCAAACTTATACTTTTTCCATGTGCTAAAGGGAAGATCGGATGCCAAGAGAGGGTATCTTTTAGAACGGGTAAAGGCTTGTATCATGATTCTTAAAGGAAATAGGTCTAAGGCTCAAACGGGTTGACTAGGGATCTTATCATTGGTAGGTTATAGAAGTGTTCAAGCTATCATTTGGACCAAGGAGAGCCTATAATTATGTCCCAAGTCAAAATTCACTTAGGATTTCGCCTCAACAAACATTCAGGGCAAGTTCTAGACCAATGGCTCAGGACTTGGACATGCAATGCAATTTCTCACCACACAAGCTATGGGATTGCTAAAGACACAGAGTCGGGGTCCCACAACGACCTTAGATAAGATTTGAGCGCACAATGGTCCCGAAAACCACTTGATGATTTTCGGTCAAGACAAGAGTCTCAAGGTCACGACTTTCACCATCCTAAACACAACAATTTGTTTTTGACCATGAGATCAAAGGCAAATGTGCTAGGCCCAAGTGAAGCTTTGCTTGAGGCACCCTTAACCAATAACTACTAAAAGCGAAAAGAAAAATGAACTCAAACCCTTAAGAAGGTTGTCACGCCATCCATCATTGGGAAGAGTCACCCGGTTCACACAAACTCCACCTTTGGAAAGAATCGTGGCATTAAGAAAACCAAATGCTTATTGCAAACATTCAAAACAAGAAGCTACGAACATAAATAAGGAGCTACAGAAAGGAAAAATGCAAAAAGTAAAATGAATATTTACAAGAGGATATTTAATCGAATATACAATAAATAGGATGAATATATACAATGTAACATAAACTTTATATACACGCCCAAAGTAAAAAGTACGAAAAATGTAAAGAAGTGCTAAAATTATATACATACCAAAGATGAAAAATAAAGCAAGCATAAAAATTGTCAAATACATACAATCATCCAACAAATCAATGTAGGGCCTACCCCCTCAAATAAAAGCTGACATTGTCCTCAATGCCAACTAAACCAAATAAGCATCAAAAAAAAAGAAAAAGGATATAGAGACTCCCTATGGCCCGTCTATCTATATGGGATCCTGCGTGGTCCCTGGGTCCTCAATATGCTCGGGAACCCCAGACTGGTTCCCTATGGCCTGCTACTCTGCTGCTGGGACCTGGGCTTGGACAGGCTCTTGGGCTGCATCCTATGGCTGACTAGAGGAGGTCTCCGGTGGGTCTGCCAACTGGATAATTGCATCATCTACTTGGGGAATCATCCTCTTCCTCTTGGGAGGCCTCTGGGACTGCTCTGACTGGGGGTGAGCTGCTGGCATCGGGTCCTGTAGCAATAAGTCCAAAGGCAGACGATCTGCCTTCATCCTGTCAACCTCAACCCTCAACTCCTTTACGTACTCCTTGGAAGCCCGTGTCTTTCTCATCTTCTTGGCCTCCCTTGCAAGCTCCTTGAGAGCTATTCCATGAGACTCCACAACATCCGTAAGAACTTTCTGAGTGTCAAGGATTTTCTTCTGGTTGTCCAGAATATCCTTGAGGGCATCCTCAATAGACTGTGGGACCTGTGGAGGTGGAGGTGCCGACTGAGCTGCTACTGTAGTAGTGAAGACAGACAAATTAGAGAAAGCTGTATACATTCAGTTGTTGATGCATAGAAGGGCCTGGCTCAGTCGGTGTACAGTCACTGGTTGGCTCGGGAAGAGGGTATATCTGGATCTGCTGAAGTGTATGGGCCAGGGGGAATGTCCGCAAAGGTGGAGGCAAGCTGAGTAGGAGCCACTATCACAACTGGCCCTTCAGACTGGCCAGGTGGAACAGTAGTTGTTCCCTTGAAGTTCTTGCTTTTTGGGTTGTCATCCCCCTGCATGTTGTACCATGAGAATGGGGCCTTTGCTTTCACTTTGATATCAAATGGCCTCTTTTCAACTTTGAGGTCCCTAAACTACATGGTCAAGAAGCTGGGGAAGGGGTAGTTTCTGTCACCCTTACTGACTACCTGCGTAATTACCCGACACATTACCTTCCCGACATTAATCGGGTACCCCGCCATGATCTATTCCACCAAAACTGCCTGGTGAAGAGGGAGGGAGTTGTCATGAGTAGTGGGGTCCAATCTGCTGCATACAAATGTTTCCCACCCCTTGGCCTCGAAGTTCAAACTTCTTCTTAAAATCTTTACGCTCACATTCAACCAATCGGGGTGGTACCTGGGATTGCCAGATACTGTGCCAACCAGGGATGAACCTCCTCACCTAATTCCATCTTCGCCAAATACAGCGACTCATCCTCCTCATCAAAGCCCAAGTATTCATTTATGGTTTTCCCATCGAACAACATTTTCAAATTGCGCACCTTGCTTACTTTGGTGCCCTTCTTGATGTGGGCAACATTGGCGTAGAATTCCTTGACCAGGTGCTCATTTGCATCCTCACAGTTGTTGAAGAAATACTCCCAGCCCACTCTCTCTCTAAACTGCCTTCTCACATTGGGGTTGTGAGGCAAAATGTCTCTTTTATCTACAAAACTTCTCTCAAGAATTAATTTCCTCACAGGCCACCATTCTCTGAATTTATGGTAGGCCACCTCGCTCACAAAGCGGTCTTGCCGCACCTCCGGGTTTCTAGTTCGTTCTATCCCACCAACCTGGGGCTCACCCCCTTCTCCTACTACCTCTTCTTCTCCTACTGCACCCTCTCCGAATAATGAAGCTGTGGGAGAGGTGGAGTATTCATCCCCACTACCTTCAACTGACCCCTTAGATGACCCAGAAGATACATTTACTGACGCTTGGGCAGCGGGGGAAGGTGGAGGAGTTTCTCTTAGTCTGTTTCTCTCCGGCCAGTCAGGGATGTACTTTGGGATTGAGTCTGAAGATATATCCTGGGAGGGCTCGTATTCACTCCCAGACTGGTCAATGGCCCTATCGGTAGATTTAATCATCTTCCTCATGTTTTTAATGTTTTCCAGGCTTGAAGAGTCAGTCTTATCATTTTCTATTTCCCTCCCCGGGAGGATTCACCTCGACCAGCTTGTTTAGAACCCTTGCCTCTTTGTTTCACCATAATCTGCAAACAACATCCAGTAGGCTAGTTAGTATTAGTAGAAGTAATTAAGATCAGAGTTGCAGAAAAGAAAGGGTTGCAAACAATTGTAGTTATAACACAATGCAGACCGCACAAAATGTAGTGCGGCCGCACAGGGACCAATGCAAACCGCATAAAATGGCAATGCGGTCCGCACAAAAGTGGGGTTCAGACTAACCACTCTTTGTATCCAGGCAATGCGGACCGCACAAAATGTAGTGCGGTCGAACAGGGGACCAATGCGGTCCGCACAAAATGCTATTACGGACCGCACAAAGGCACCGCAGACCGCACAGAATCGACTGTGGTCCGCACTGAGTGCCCAAAAGCAACACTAACTTAGGGTTCAATGTATTTTGATTTTAAGTCCAATTTTACACCTAAGAAAGGTTCATATGTGTTTGCCTAGTGTTTCTAACTACCTAATTCTACTTTAATCAAGAAATTAACTAACCTAATTTTACCAAATCAAAAGAAGTACGGGAAGAATAGAAGGGAAGCAAGAAAAACAAAAATTAAGAGAAATTAACAAAACTAACAAAATTAAACAATTAAAAGAAGTTAATGGTACCAGATGTGAGATGAACTGAAGGTAAACAAGTCCAAGCAGATAATTATGAGCAAAAGGAAAGATGAACAGTGCTTTTATGAGTTCTGAGAGCAAAGGTTCGAAAAGTGTGAAAGGAGGACCTCAGGCCCTATTTATAGAAAAAGGACCTGGGGCCCAGCTTACCAACCCAATGCGGACCGCACAAAATGGATTGTGGTCCGCACCACACAACATTGTTTCATGTTTGAGAAGGCAACCTACTGCGATCAGCACAAAATGCCATGCGGCCGCAGTGGTCCACCGCGAACCACACAAAATGTAATGCGGCCGCGATGGAAAACTTCAGAGAGCTAGACTTTTCGTCCTTCATCAGTGCGGTCCGCACTAAATGTAGTGCGTTCGCATTGAAAACTTCAGATACCTAAACACTTTTTCCACTATGTCCTGCACTGCATCAACACAATCTTGTAGCATCTCACAACCAGTTAGTCCAAAAATAAATTCTATACTACAATGAAAATCAAATAAAAACAAGAAGAAAAACACATGGGTTGCCTCCCAAGAAGTGCCTGATTTAACGTCGTGGCATGACACAGGTTACCATCAAATCATTTGAGATAAAGAAGTGTAACCACGTGGTTGTCATCAATTTTTCCCAAGTAGTGCTTGACCCTATGCCCATTCACTCTGAAAACTTCCCCATTTTTGTTCTTTAAATCAAGTGCACCAAACGAGGTCATACACATCCACTCCATTTTGACTTAAGCTTTCCCGGAAACAGACGTAACCGAGAGTTGAACAAGAGAACCAAATCACCTACTTTGAACTCCTTGCTACGAGCATATTTATCATAAAGGTACTTCATCTTGTCCTTATACAAGGACGAACTAGAGTAGACATGGAATCTGAATTCATCAAGTTCATTGAGCTGCTCCACATGAAGATTGGCTGCAACATCTCATTCAATATTTAGCTTCCTCAAAGCCCACATGGCCTTGTGCTCTAACTCGACTGGTAGATGGCAAGCTTTCCCAAACACAAATCGATACGGAGACATACCAATATGAGTCTTGTAAGCAGTCTTATAAGCCCATAAAGCGTCATCCAACTTCTTTGCCCAGTCGGTCCTCTTTGTATTGACCGTCTTTGACAATATACTTTTGATTTCCCTATTGGAGACTTCAATTTGACCACTTACTTGAGGATGATAGGGAGTAGAAACTTTGTCATTGACACCATACTTTGCAAGCAAAGTGTCGAAAGCTTTATTGCAAAAATGAGACCCCTCCCCATCACTTATGATTGCACAAACAGTACCAAACTTTGTAAAAATGCTCTTCTTGAGAAATGCAACAACACTCCGAGCCTCATTGTTGGGCAAAACCACGACTTCAACCCACTTTGAAACATAGTCCACCGTCATAAGAATGTATGTGTTCCCACACGAGCTAACAAACGGGCCCATAAAATCAATGCCCCATACATCAAAAATATCAACCTCAAGGATGGTATTGAGAGGCATCTCATCTTTCTTCGAAATTCCACCCGCTCTTCGGCATTCAACGCATCTCTTCACAAAATCACCCGCATCTTTGAACAAAGTTGGCCAATAAAACCCACAACTAAAAACTTTGGAAGCCATCCTTGCCCCGCCATGATGACCATCATAGGGAGAGGAATGACAAGCCTCCAAGATACTCAATTGCTTTTCCTCCGGGACACACCTTCTGATCACACCATCCGTGCAAATCTTGAACAAGTACGGCTCATCCCAATAGAAATCCAAACTATCCCGCTTGAGCTTCTTCCTTTGGTTAGAAGAGAGCTCACACGGGATTATACCAGTCACAAAGAAATTAGCAACATCAACAAACCATGGCATATCATTCATAGACACCAAAAGGAGTTGTTCGTCGGGAAATGAATCATTGATCTCTAGGTCGTCACGAGGCCTCCCCTCCCCCTCCAAGCAGAACAAGTGGTCCGCCACTTGGTTCNGCATACATTTTTCATCAAACACGAACTTAGCATCCTTTTCCAACAACTTGCACAAGGGATTCACTACCTTCGAAAAATCTTTGATAAACTCCGGTAGAACTCCGCATGCACAAGAAAACTTCAAACTCCCTTGACAGATGTAGGGGGAGGGAGCCTTGAAATCAAATCAATTTTTGTTTTGTCTACCTCAATACCATGCTTTGAAATTTTATGCCCAAGAACTATCCCCTCTTCCACCATAAAGTGGCATTTCTCCCAATTGAGAACAAGATTGGTTTCTTCACAACGGTCCAAGACCCTATCAAGATTTTTCAAGCACTCATCAAATGAATCCCCCACAATACTAAAGCCGTCCATGAACACATCCAAAATGTCTTCCACCATATCGGTGAAAATGGCCATCATACACCACTGAAATGTAGTCGATGCATTACACAACTTAAAAGGCATCCTAGAAAAGGCAAAGGTGTCATATAGACAAGTGAATGTGGTCTTCTCCTGATCTTCCGGAGCAATCAAGATTTGGTTGTACCCAGAATACCCATCCAAGAAACAATAGAAGGCACGCCCAGC